CCACTGGACTCCAGGTCACTACTGTGTCGCCCACTACGGCTCAGGCTACGACTACTTCGATATAAGTCAACCCACGGAGATGCCGAGACAATTCAATTGCATCATTCACACTTTCATGAAATTAAGTATAACTCTGGAACAGAGTCTTACGTATATATGAATTATTCACGTAAATCGTGCCACCCAAAGGGTCTCGTAGTGCTTAAGAGTGTTTTTCATGTCCCCCGAGTGTGGTGTGCGCGAAAGTTATACGGGGTCTGTTGTCCGGTGCAGATTCAAAACTGAACCTATTCGTCGGCTCATTGACTCGTCCTTATGGTCCGAATGGGTACAATGACACCACAGGGATAACTCGATTTCATGGCGTTTGGTTTGTTCGCGAATTCGTCAACGCAGCGGCAACTGCCAGAATGTCGATGAGGTGAAGGAAGTTCATACCAAAAAAACTTGAATGGTGCCGGCACACATCGTTGTAATGCGACACGCTCAAGACAGCAAATAAGGAAATTTCGCCAAAACCACGGAAGAATTCAGATATGACATATCTTGACAGAAGTGCCACTATGTGGAAGAGTCTGGAAAAAACATATACACAGTAAAATAGTTGCGAAAAGCTACCACTCGCTCAATAACAATTTCATTTCTGCCATTCCCAATATTTGCTTGCTAAAGTCGATAATGTCAGTATCGACTGTCATACTGATGCCGGCTGGAATGTAAATATGATTGCTACTTACAGGAGCGAAATAGTGAAGCTATCTGATACCATAGCAATTGGCACTGGCAAAAAGGGGCCCGATAGAGTACGTCGACGATATCTCCGCGAACGTGATTGTTGTATCATGTATTGCTCGTTATTAAGGACCATTTCAATCGACGATATCTCCGTAGTGAGACTAATTCGCGATGCGCAGAGGCTCTAGACCCGAATCTTACAGTTTCCCTCGCGTATGTACGCGCCCCACGATATCGATCAGACCGCAAGTATTCCAAATTTGGTGTTGCATGCCTTGGGCGGCAACACATCACATCCAGCCTAGACAGCTCATCATGATGATTGTCTTTGCAAGTCTTTGTCCTTATTCTCTCGTCCTTAGGGCAATGATGGTCATCTCTGTAGGTTTCATATCTACCCAATGAGTATGTCCATCATCGGCGTTGCTCTTGTTATCCCTACTGTGGCCTCATACAATATCCGACAGCTGCAGGTCTCCACACCCATCCCGACTACATCGGCTCCTTCGGGGCCCAACACAGCTTGTGATGATATGTGCAGGAGCCTCAACGACGCCGCCTCCTACTGTAAGTGGTGGTTACCGGTACCCGTCTGTCAAGTTGGTGATCAGCCTTGCAGTGACCATAGCGTGTGTGAGTCCCAGACTTGGCCACCTCCAGTTGATCCGACAACTGCTGCCGGGGGCCACCCATTCCAGTCTGCTCCATGTGACGCCTATTGCGTTGGTCTTAACGGCCCATCTTCATACTGCAAGTGGTGGAAACCTGAGCCTGTTTGCCAAGGAGGTGATCAGCGGTGTCGCCCGTCGGAGTGCCCCACTGGTGATCCTCCTACAACTGCCGCTCCTCCTGACGATCATACGGGCCCGAGCGACAACTGTGATGCTTATTGCCGATCGCTGAATGATGGTTTATATGGCACTAGGATATCATATTGCAAATGGTGGCTCCACGTCGCTGTTTGTCAAGATGGTGATCAGCCTTGCGGCCCGTCAGTCTGCAGCAGCTTCCCCACAACTACAACAACTACCACCACTGTCTCGACCACATCAACTCTGTCCACGGCTCCCACCACAGTAGTCTTTACTACTGTTGCCGCTACCACTGTGGCTCCCACTACAGTCTCGCCTACTACAGTGGCCGCTACTACTGCTGCTCCCACTACAGTGGCCGCTACTACAGTGGCCGTTACTACTGCGGCTCCCACTACAGTCTCGCCTACTACAGTGGCCGCCACTACTGTGGCCGCTACTACTGCGGCTCCCACTACAGTCTCGCCTACTACAGTGGCCGTTACTACTGCGGCTCCCACTACAGTGGCCGCTACTACTGTGGCTCCCACTACAGTCTCGCCTACTACTGTGGCCGCTACTACTGCGGCGCCCACTGCAGTCTCGGCTACTACTGTGGCCGCTACTACTGCGGCTCCCACTACAGTGGCCGCTACTACTGCGGCTCCCACTACAGTGGCAGCTACTACTGCGGCTCCCACTACAGTCTCGGCTCCCACTACAGTGGCCGCTACTACTGCGGCTCCCACTACAGTGGCCGCTACTACTGCGGCTCCCACTACAGTCTCGGCTACTACAGTGGGCGCTACTACTGCGGCTCCCACTACAGTCTCGCCTACTACTGTGGCCGCAACTACTGTGGCCGCAACTACTGTGGCCGCTACTACTGCGGCTCCCACTACAGTCTCGCCTACTACTGTGGCCGCTACTACTGCGGCTCCCACTACAGTGGCAGCTACTACTGTTGCTCCCACTACAGTCTCGGCTACTACAGTGGCCGCTACTACTGTGGCTCCCACTAGAGTCTCGCCTACTACAGTGGCAGCTACTACTGTTGCTCCCACTACAGTCTCGCCTACTACAGTGGCCGCTAGTACTGTGGCTCCCACTGGACTCCAGGTCACTACTGTGTCGCCCACTACGGCTCAGGCTACGACTACTTCGATATAAGTCAACCCACGGAGATGCCGAGACAATTCAATTGCATCATTCACACTTTCATGAAATTAAGTATAACTCTGGAACAGAGTCTTACGTATATATGAATTATTCACGTAAATCGTGCCACCCAAAGGGTCTCGTAGTGCTTAAGAGTGTTTTTCATGTCCCCCGAGTGTGGTGTGCGCGAAAGT